GATGGACAGTGTTTCCCATGGTGCACTGCAGCTTGCGGGGGGGTGAGGGGTCTGTGAGCCCTCCGCAGGTGTGAGCACCCGCTTTGTGGACCTCATCTCCCGCCATGCAGCGTGGCTCCCTCCTCAGCCGCAGGAAGGGTCTGGGGGCAGCTGTGCATCATGGGAGATGTAGTCCAGCTAGGACTAGTAGCCTTCCGTAGAGCGCGAGGGAGTTAACCAACCTGGTAGCTTTCCATAATGGAATGACTGGCTGGGTAGGTGAGGGCAGAGCAGTGGATGCTGTCTGCCTGGACTTCAGCGAGGCTTTAGACACTGTCTCCCATCACGTCCATGTAGGCAAGCTCAGGAAGTACAGGGTGGATGAGTAGACGATGAGGTGGATGGAGACCTGGCTGGCTGGCAGAGCTCGGAGGGTTGTGGTCAGTAGCACAAAGTCTGTTGGAGGCCTGTAGCTCGCGGTGTCCCACAGGGGTCAGTACTGGCTCCAGTCTTGTTTAACTTATTCATCAGTGACCTGGAGGAAGGCACAGAGTGCCCCCTCAGCAAGTTTGCTGATGCTCCAAAGCTGGGGAGAGTGGCTGACACACCAGGAGGCTGTGCTGCCATGCCGAGGCACCTGGGCAGGCTGGCGAGCTGGGCGGAGAGGAACCTACCTCATCAAGTTCAGTAAAGGGAAATGCAGGGTGCTGCACCTAGGGAGGAAGAACCCCATGCAGCAGGACAGGCTGGGGGTTGACCTGCTGGAAAGCAGCTCTGCAGAGAAGGAGCTGGGAGTGCTGGAGGACAACAAGTGAGGCATGAGGCAGCAATGTGGCCTTGTGGCCAAGAAGGTCAATGGCATTCTGGGTTGCATTAGGCAGAGTGTTGCCAGCAGGTGGAGGGCGGTGCTCCTCTCCTTCTCCTCAGCCCTGGTGAGGCCTCACCTGGAGTACTGTGACCAATTCTGGGCTCCCCAGTACAAGAGAGACATGGAGCTCCTGGAGTGAGTCTGGTGAAGGGTCCTAAGATGCTGAAGGGACTGGAGCGTCTCTCATCTGAGGCTGAGAGAGCTGGGCCTGTTGAGCCTGGAGAAGAGAAGACTGAGGGGGAATCGTGTCAACGTGTCCAAGTATCTGAAGGGAGAGTGTCGAGAGGATGGGGGCCAGATTTTTCTCTGTGGTGCCCAGCTATAGGATGAGAGGCAATGGGCAGGAACTGAAACACAGGAAATTCCATCTGAACACCAGGAATAACTTTCCTGAGAGGGTGACTGAGCACTGGCACAGGTTGCCCAGAGAGGTAGTGGAGTCTCCTTCGCTGGAGATATTCAAAAGCCATCTGGGCACGATCCTGTGCAATGTGCTCTAGGTGACCCTGCTTGAGCAGGGGGGTTGGACTAGATGATCTCCAGAGGTCCCTTCCAACCTCAAGCATTCTTTGATACTGTGGTTATGGGCTACTGGGGGGCATCACTGCATGGCTGTGGCCCAAGCTCCCTCAATCATCGTTGCAGGTATTCCAGGTCCGCAAAGTGCAGGGTACCAACATGGGCAAGATCTTTGCCATGAAGGTCCTGAAGAAGGTAACACGCCCCCGGCCCCCTCGTGCTGCCTAGTGTGCCTCCACTCACCGCCTCTCCATCCCCCCCCCCAGGCCAAAATCGCCTGCAACGCCAAGGACACGGCGCACACGCGGGCTGAGAGGAACATCCTGGAGGCCGTCAAGCATCCCTTCATCGTCGACCTCATGTACGCCTTCCAGACGGGCGGCAAGCTCTATCTCATCCTGGAGTGCCTAAGCGGTACGGGCATGGGGCACCCCGGGCACCACGGCCCCTGCCTGGCACCTGCTCTGTGGCGAGGGCTGGGGGCGAAGGGTGGCTGGTGCTAGCCAGGACCTGCTTTGCTGCAGCCCTGGCAGAACAAGCAGGGCCCCGCAGTGCCCGGTGGCAGGGATTTGAGGGTGCTATTGGCCGGCAGTGGCTCATGTGCCCCATTTCCACCGTGTTTTGCAGGTGGAGAACTCTTCATGCAGCTTGAGCGGGAGGGCATCTTTCTAGAGGACACTGCCTGGTAAGGCTGGCTCTGTGTCCTCAGACACCCTAGCTGCCACAGGTGGCAGGAGCGGGGGTCTCGCACACCCTCTCGCTCCTGGCATGGAAGGGGAAAGTGAGGCAGGAGTGAGCCGTGCTGCTGGTGTGGTCTGGGAGATGGAGAAGAGTGCTGGGATGCTGGTGTTTGTGAGGGCAGGGGCTGCTCATCCTGGTGTCCCCCAGGCACTGCTCAACTGTAGCCTGTGCTACAGTTTCTACCTTAGTGAGATCACGTTGGCGCTGGGCCACCTGCACTCCAATGGCATCATCTACCGAGACCTCAAGCCGGAGAACATCATGCTCAACAGCCAAGGTGGGCAGCAGTGCTAGCCAGGGGTGGCCTCGTGGCCAGGGAGCACCGGGGGCCCCAGCAGCCCTTGGGCCGGCTCTCATTCCTCTGTGGCCTTGTCCAGGCCACATCAAGCTGACAGACTTCGGGCTGTGTAAAGAGTCGATCCATGACGGGGCTGTGACGCACACCTTCTGCGGCACCATCGAGTACATGTGAGCCCTGGCGCAGCCCTGGGGGATGCACCGTGCCACGGGCCTGGCCCAGCCCGGTGGCTCAGGTTCCCCTGTCTGTGCTCCGTACCAGGGCCCCGGAGATACTGGTCCGCAGTGGGCACAACCGGGCAGTGGACTGGTGGAGCCTGGGCGCCCTGATGTACGACATGCTCACAGGATCGGCAAGTTGGACTTGTTACCTCTGAGGGGGGCGCAGGGACCCACGGCACCAGCTGTGCCTGGCAGGGGGGCAGCAGGTGCCCAGGGGGGACCCATGGAGGCTGCTGTGCCTGGGAACGAGGGCAGGAGGTGCCCGGGGCAGGGCGATGAGTGTCCATCTGGCATGATGGGGGGATGTGAGCCGCTGTCTTCAGGCCATGTCCTGGCCTGATGCCTGCCCTGTGGCGCCCATCCCGTCTCTTCCTCGTCATCTCCTGTCTCTCGCAGCCCCCCTTCACAGCTGAGAACCGCAAGAAAACCATTGATAAAATCCTCAAGGGCAAGCTGGTGCTGCCACCCTACCTGACACCCGATGCCCGAGACCTGCTCAAGAAGGTACGTGCCAGCCCGCGGGTCCCAACCCTGCTGGTGGTTGTGGGGTCCTGCTCTGCGTCCCTAACTGCTCCCCTTTCCTCCCAGTTCCTCAAGCGAAACCCCAGCCAGCGGGTCGGGGGGGGCCCGGGCGACGCAGCTGATGTGCAGGTATGGGCAGGGCTGGCAGGGGCAGGCAATGGGGCTGGCACCGAGCCTGATGCCCTGATCCCAAATGCCCGCAGAAGCAGCCCTTCTTTCGCCACATCAACTGGGACGACCTCCTGGCCCGCAAGCTCGACCCTCCCTTCAAGCCCTGCCTGGTACGGCCGGGG